GCAAAACTGAGTTATAGGGCTGCAATGCAGGAAGATTTGAGCATGATCAATAAAATCAAACCTAGAAACTGGTACCTAGACCTGAAAAAAGAAAAGTCATTCAGGTTAAAGGATTTTCAAACGAAAATCAACCCTAATGGCTCAATCCAAGCATAAAGCAAGATTGATGGTGAAGGGTTTGCACAGCAACCAGGCATTGATTTTTCAGAAACCTTGCCCCGGTTGCTAGGCAAGACACAATCAGGCTTGTTGGGCTCTTGCAGCTCAATTCAACGGAGAATTTTCCAGCTGGATGTCAAGTCTGTATTCTGAATGGATGGATTTCAGAGGAGCTGTATGTGAGCAACCCGAAGGCTACCAGGTTGAGGGAAAGGGGACCATGTGTACTACTGAGGAAGGCATTATATGGCTTGAAGCAGGCACCTAGAGCCGGTACAGCCGAATAAATGACCATTTATACAGCCTGGATATATTAGAAGTCCTAATGAACACACTCTCTACATTAGGAAAACTAAAAAGGGAGTGGCTATGGTTTCTTTATACGTTGATGACTTGTGGTGACAAGGAGTAATCCTGATGAATTGGACCAATTCAAGTTGGATATGCAAGCTGAATTTGAAAGACAGATTTGGGATTGATGAAGTACTTCTTGGCATGGAGATAACTCAAGCTGTTGGGGAGATTTGTTTGTCAACAAAGGTATGAACCGAGCTTCTCCAAGGTTTGGAATGGAGAACTGCAAACCAGTGATAAACCCTCTAGTTCCCAACCTGAAGTTAAGCAAAACAGATGGTGCAGAGAGAGTTGATGAAGGGAAATACAGAAGCTTAGTGGGAAGTCTACTATATTATACAGCCACCAGACCTGCCTTATGTTACAGCAAGTTACCTCTCAAGGTTTATGAGCAACCCAAGTGAATTGCCATTAAAGCTGCCAAACGTGTGTTGAGGTATGTGAAAGGAACCTGCATGTTAGGCATTTGGTTTAGGAAATCCGAAAGTCTGAAGCTGTGGGGGACATCACAGTGTGACTGGGGTGGATCGTGGATGATGCAAGAAGCACCTTGGTTACGTGTTCTAACTGAATGAGGGTGCAATCAGGTGGCTGTCAGGAAGCAAGAAAAATGTGGCTCAATCACTGCTGAAGCTGAATATGTATCTGCCGCAGCAGCTGTGAACCAGGCTGTGTGGCTTAGGAAGATGCTGAATGACTTACAGCAAATGCAAATGGATCCTACCTTGATTCTGTGTGATAACCAGTCGGTGTAGCAATGGCAAGAACCCTGTTGTTAGAGTCATGAAAGTGACTCTATTTTGGTGATAAAATACCGCATGTGTGTTAAATTGAAGTATATTGAGATATAAAAGAATTTACGAATTTATTCACGAAAATCGCTTCCTAATACTTTTCTTATGAATTTAACGTGTTGGATGATTTTGGAAAGTATATGAGTTGAATTAGGTTATGGTTTATGGATTAAGGATGATTTTGTCTCATTTATGCTGTTTTGGGGGTAAAATGTCATGTTTAAGGGGCTGATTCGTCATGTTCAATCATGCAAGGACCAAATGGAAATTTGCCAAATTTTGTATAAAACTCCAGTTCAAGTTCGTAGAAACGTGGCTGCCGCCCACCAAAACTCTTCACTTCTCCGATCAAGCTCCGGCGACCTCTATCTTTATTTCTGGCGATGTTTTGGCTTCCTCGGGCACCGGTCACCAACATCCCATCGTCCGGACACCACCGCGATCACGGAAGCAGCCACGGCGTTCATCTTCCACCACCCGACTCTTCATCTTTCGGCCAGATCCTATCATTTCCGGCGACTTTCACCTCCCAGGACCTGATCTGAACTCCCCATCACCAGAGCTTTCCATCGGTACCTTCGGATCCCATTTCCACACGTTTTTCGGCCTTCTTCGCATCATATCGCTGTCGGTTACCTCTTCTTCACCATGATCAGCTCGTTTCCACTGTTTTAGCCTCCGTCATCGCCACCATGAGCGGCTGAGTTCTCGGTGTCCGTTACGGTGTAGGCGAGATCGAGATTGACTCCGCTGATTCCTCATCAGCTTTCGACTAGTTGGAGCCAAAGTGGATATTTGGTTAAGTTTCTGTATTCAGATTTATTTGTTTGTTTCAGTTTGTTTGCGTACTTTAATATTATTCAGATACTCGACGTGTTGAATTGATAATGCCATTGAGAACGTTTATTGATATGTAACTTTTCGCATAATTGAATGTCGGTTTAAGATTATTGAATGTTGATTAGACTTTAAATTGCTTCGGTACTGATTGCAATCAAGTTATAGTACCGTTTAATTAATTTCTACTAGGAATGCATTTATTGTGTAATTAGTTGATTGGGTGATAGGTTGATAGGTTGTACTTGTTAACATTGTACCAACTAGTGGTGTTTAGGGTTTAGCATTTTTCGGTTAGTCAATGATAGTCTTTAACCAATCGATCTGTAACTAAGACGACGGGGAGACAGGATAGATTATGCCTAGATTGCCAGGAGATATTTCTATTGATTTGCCTAGCCTTGTAGGATTAGGAAATTGAAGAGCGAGGAGAGGAATTGTGAGAGTTGGTCTGAGTCAAATGAACCCGTAGCGACAACGCTTTTATATTGTGTTTTAGTTAGCAATTTATTTAATGCTTTTAAATCTGCAAGTAATTAGTTTCCTTAGTTTTAATCAATCATTTTCAATTTCTTTTTCGTAACTCAAATATACATTAGGTCGTTAGTCTGCTCTTTGTGGATTCGACCCTGCTTACGCTAACTACGGTACTTAGGTTTTTATTTTGTGACCGTGATGACCGGTCTAAACATGTGCTTCACGGCAGAACAAAGCATATTAAAATTAATATCATGCTGTTAGGGAAGCTGAACAGTGTGGAGAAGTGAACTTAGTTCACTGTCGAGGGGAAGACCAGGTTGCAGATATCATGAAAAGGCATTATGCAAATCAAGTTTGAAGCCTTGAGGCTAAAACTTGGTGTTTCCAGCCCAAGCACCAAGGTGGACGTGAAGGTTGTGCTGTGCTGGAAGTTTGGTTTGCCGAAGGTATGAAAAACCTGGAAAAGTTTTTGCTCTGCATGGACGTGCATGGGAGTGCTTCACGGTTCAGTGGCTAAGATTTACTGTAATTTAATGTTAATCCTTTTATATATGGCTCAGCTTTTTTGTAATGAAGTTGTTAGTATTTTGAGTGGTTTAGCTGAGATTAAGGAAAAGTATTCTGATGGTTGTTGAAACAGTGAGAAGAAGTATATTATATGCCGATTTTGTTGATGAAAATATATGTCCAGTTTTAGTTTTTTATCTCTCTCTTCTTTGAATAACCAGCATCACAAAAACGAACAAAAATGCCCCATTGAAAATTATAACTGATGGGGTGAATGGAGTTTTTTATGAAAATTTCGAGAGTGATCAACATTTGTTTTGAGGATAGTTGTAGTTAAAAGTAAGTTAAGTTTAAGCATTGTATTTGAGATGTTCGATGATATTATATTGATGTGTTACCACAAGGAGAACTGATGAAGAAATTATTGGATTGTATACCAAAAGACAAGCGGGGAGCACCGATAAGGGACCACGAACCTTCTTGGCTTAATGGTTGAACATCAAAAGTTGTGAGTGGCAAAAACTAAGATTTTCCTTCAAATTCAAGCTTGCATGTTTAAATTGAAATGATCATTGCAATGGTTTGAAAGTTTGTGCTGAATTAGTGTTGGTTTTTTTACTTGAAATTGTTGAGGAATTTACATGCAAGAGTGTCATTGTTTCAACAGGATTGCATGTGTTAGACAAGCTTGCCATATGCTTCAAACTGGTAACTCTATGCCATGTTTCTGCATAAAGAATTAAATATCAGAGATAAAACATTTCCAATGGCTGCTTTTTATTCACTAAATTAAGTGCAAAGGAGATTTACCTCGAGATAAATCATGTCAAAAGGAACTATTTATCTTTGCAATGAGTTTTACAGACTGCTTGAAGAAACCTGAACAAACTATATTATAAATTCATGGAGGCTGTAGTCTTGTTCCCTTGCTTTAAAACTGAAATGGTATTAATACAGCTGTCAATCAACAATCAAAGCCATACTATTAGCACCATTACCCCAGGCAAAAGTTAACCCTTTAATAATGAGCACATCTGTATCATAGTTATAATTTGAGTTGATTACATGTTTTGGATTGATCTCAATAAACAGAAGCACAGAATACCAAAAATAAAAACACAGTTTTAGAAACTAAATACCTACATATAAACACAATCACTTAATATATAGCAAACATAATGCTGTATAAAATGAGAAAAAGTATAAAAAATTCACCTAATACGTGCACATGTAGGAGCTTTTTGGCGCCAAAACTGTGAACCCTGAAGTGCTATTTGAATAATATAAAAGGAATGACAAGAATAAACTGTTTGGTGGGTTTATTATCATAATCAGAAAGATTGTGATAAAGGAAGTGTAACACTTCCTCATTTCAAAACAGAATTGGAAAAACAAAAAAAACCAGAGAGAGCGAATTATTTCTACCTTAGGTTCGATGGCCATAATGTCTTCCAAAAATGATTCACTCTCAGCATAATTGTCTACTTTCATTCCAAAACGAAAAATTGGCCATCCAACTTGTTTGCTCATTGATCCCTTCTAGAACCAAGAAATTCTGTTCCAGCGTGGTGATCACATAGTCAGCCTGAATTCGTGGTAACACTATCACTCAACCAACAACTACACCCGATTTTTCTTTACTTTTTGATTTCGATAAACGTCCTCATTTTAATGCATCTGCCTATTGCAGCAAAATAAATATTCCATAATAGTATATAAACCCCATATCATCTGGTTCTAATTCAATTAACATTTTTGCAGCCATTTCAGCTAAATTCAAGTTCCCATGGACCAAACAAGCCCTAAGTAATGATCCCCAAATAACAACATCCGGGTTGATTGGCATATTCAATAAAATCTTTAGTTCTTCTAAAAGCCCAGCTCGGCCAAGAAGATCCACCATGAACCATAATGCTCAATCTTGGGTTGCAAACCATAGAATTGTTCATCCATTGAACAAACTCTGACCCTCAACAAGTAACCCTGCATGACTACAAGCTGATAGAACTGACAAGAATGTAACCTCTTCGGTTTCATCTTCAATTCTATCATGTCAACAAAAACCTCGCGGCATTCTTTCCTTTACCATGAAATGCATATCTGATATCAAAGTAGTCCATGAAAACACATCCTTCTCCCGTATCTCACTAATTACCTTCAATACCATATCAAGACATCCACTTTTGCATACATATCCATCAAAGCAGGATTCACAGTAACACCAAAACCAAGATTACTTTTACTAACATTACCATGAATGCATTTACCAAGATCAAGAGCTCCAATGTCAGCACAACCCGACAATACAACCACAATAGTAATCACCGTACAATACTCTCCTCTTGCTTTCATTTCCCTAAAAAGTTCCAATGCCTCAACTATTTCCCTCCCTCGAACATAAGCTGTTATCATTACATTCCAAGAAACCGAATTTCTCTGAGGCATTTCATCGAACACCAGGCAAGAAGATTCCAAATCATTACCATTGCAAACCCATTAAGCGAACTATTCCATGAAGCAATATCTTGAGAAAATTTAGCTGCCCAGCCATCCCAAGTTTCGATTTAAGAAATGGCCTTGAAACTGTTTTTCATTTTTTTTTTAATTTAGAGAAGATGATGTGGCATAGTTAGGATTAATTAAACACATAAAATGGGTTAAAATGAAAAGATTAAAACATATGTGGGCCGAATCAGAAATAATGAAAGTTTTTAAAATTTGAAATTTCTCAAAACAAGCCCCACTATTCACCTCGCTTAATCGAAATTCATTAGGGCAAAAAGCGATATCATGAACCAAAGGGAGACGCGATTTTTTCCGATCGAACACCTACAAATTTGCACCCTAAATCAATTTCTTGAAGCCTAAACCGAATACAGTCGCGATTCCTGGCGATATAGTCACGATTTTCGATCGATTTGTTGAACCCTAAAATCGATTTCCTTAACCCTAAACAGAATCTGTACGATTTTCAGCGATACAGTCCATATTTCCGATCAAAACTGCAAAATTTGACACCAAATTCAATCCAAAACCCTGGCTGACACTCACAATGAGGAGGAAAACCCAACGCCACTTCGAATCCTAGATTCCGGTGCGCAAGCAATTCAATGGCTGCTCCGGTGGATCATCCGATCAGTGAAGGTGGTACACATGCAGAGGAGATGCCGGCCGCACAAGAACAGAGGGAAGAACCAGCAAATGGTTCTGAAGACGAGGAGTCAAGCAAGAATTTAGGCCAGGAGGAGGATTTCGGCTAGAATTCAGGCTAAGAGGAGGATTCCAGCGAGCATTCAAGCCAAGAGGAGTTGTCCGAGGATTCAGGCGACGAGGAGGAGGCCGGCGAAGAAAGGGTACATTGTTTGGGAATATTGCTTGTTTTGTCGCTTAAGCGATCATTTGTATCACTTAAACGATTAATCTGTTTTACTCATGATCGCACTCATGATCGCTTAAGCGATCATAAGTGTTTACTCTTGGTCGCTTAAGCAATTTTAGATCGCTTAAGCAATCTTGTCGAGGCAGAATCACATATAATAAGTGATCTTTTGTATCGCTTAAGAGATTCTCAGTTTACTCTTGGTCACTTAAGCGATTTCAGATCGCTTAAGCGATCTTGCACGAGGCAGAGTAAGATCTCTTAAGCAATCTGAAATCGTTTAAGTGACTACAATAGTAATTTTTTGTTGCTGATATTTTGTTTATTAGTTATTTTGGTTTATTTTTGTTGCTGACATTTCGTTTATATCGATTGTGTAGATTGTGCGGACCGTAAACTGTAGAGACTACGAGTTAGAGCCTATAAGTGAGAAGGTACCCTACTTCCTTACAAGGGTGACGGTGAGGTCGAGTTGGGATGTTTTTGACAGAATAAGGGTCATTTTAGCTAGAATGAGACGTGGTGAAAGAGATTTCGGTCGCACTTGTTTCGGTCAAGTTTTAAGAATGGGAACAAATTGGAAAAAGGCATTTTAGGGGCAGGGAGTGCATTACATGTTGATACACTCAGTAAAATGCAACAAAAAAAATGAAATGCGGTTCGTGGTGGACGGAAAGCCACTACGGTTTGGGATGATGGAGTATGCCTTAGTGACGAGCTTAGGATGCGGGGAAGTGCCAAATAAGGCGGAGGCAGACACAATAAGGATAGTCCGGGAGGCATAAGGTTTTGTTAGAAGGTTTTGCAGGGGGCAAAGTCTATTACAGGACATGTTTTGGAGGAGAGGCTAGAAACAGTTCGGTTTAATAATGGAGAGAAGATAAAAGTGTGCTTGCTAGTGTTTTTACATTCTATCTTATTGGCTGGTGACTCAACAAAAGCTGTTGAGAAAGATTGGTTGTTGTTTGCAAGCGACTTGGAGTTCTTTAATTCTTATCCGTGGGGATGGATATCATTTGAGCGAACCATCAAGAGCCTGAAAAAACTAGACATGGCGTTAAAGCATGCCGAATGGGGCGGGAAGACTAAACCAAGCACGTATAATTTGTTTGGCTTCCCATGGGCCATGCAGGTAAATATTAATAGCTCTCTATTATATTTTTTATAATATATGTGTTTGAATTATGATATGGACTGTTTTTTTACAATATAGGCTTGGATGTACGAGGCCATCCCTATCTTCGCTAGGGGGTGGGGGGGAGAGGGGGAGGAAGTAACAGTTTGGATGTGCAATAGCAATTTCCTAGGATGTTATGGTGGCATGTTCAGAAGTGTAACCATTCAGATTACAGCCAAATAGAGATTGAGATTCAAACGACTGAGGTAAGATTAAAGGATTATGCTTTTGAATATGCAGTTGCTTTTTAATTTTGCTTCAATTTCATTAATTTTGTTTCTTATTGTAGGGAGTCGTCCGTCTCTTTCTCACCGCTACTGGGGATGAAGCAGAAGAGGACTATGTCACATCTTTCAAAGCAATGGATGATGGAAGGGATGAACGGATAGACCGCCTGATGCATGACCTAAAAGGGGTCATGCATGTGACGGCAGTTGTAGGGCCATTGCTTGACAACGTCATTGATGCCGAGGAAGATTATAAAGCTCCAATTGGCGGGAGGCCCGAAGATGAAGATGAGGATGAGGAGGAGGAGGAGAAGAGGGAGGAAGAATGAGGTTGTTGACCTTATAAACGGCTTGTTTAAGAGTTTTATAATAGCCATTTATGCAAGGTTTGACAAGATGGAAGAGTGCATGAAAAGGGTGGAGGAGAAAATGGATAAGCTGGGAGAGAAAGTTGGTACAGTGGAAGAGGAAGTTGGTACAATGGAGAAGGAGGTTGGTGGAGAATTAAAGGCGGTTGAAGTGCAAACTGGCTTGAAAAGAGAGAGCTGAAAGAGCAAGTTTGTGAAATCACCTTACATGGTAGTGACACATGTAAAGAAGAAGAAAATTAAGAAACAAATGGAGGAAGAACCAAAAATAGAGGAGGTTGGTGGAGGAAGTGGGTCGGTGATAATGGAGGAGGGCGAGGTGGGAGGTGAAGGAAGCGAGGATGTAAAAATGGAGGAAGGGGGAGGAAGTGGGCAAGGGAAATTGGACTTAAATGTCGATTTGTATAGGCCAATAGAGGAAAAGAAAAAACTCTTCTATGCCTATTACAATGGATCAGGAAGTAATGGCCATATAAAGTGTAAGACAGGGGATTATCCCCTGGAATGGTTTAGGAAGTTCTTGACGATGGGCATGTGGCTTGAGGACTCGGTGAGTTATTTTTGCTTAATTTTCCTTATTTTTGCCTATGTTTTCCATACTTATCTTGTTGTTTTTATTTGATGTAGTACATCGATGAGATATTGGCATTGATGAGGCTACGATAGACTACTGATGGTGATCTATTGTATCCCAACTATGCCATCACCGATGTGGCCTTTGGCCAAACACTTGTTTCGGCATATCGCACTTTAATTAAAAATGTTGTTGCAAGTGGTGCAGCAAAAGGACCGAAGCGAAAAAGATTGGCCTGAGTACAGTTGGATTACATCCCTGATGATTTTCATTTTGATGACAGAATTATGCAGTATATACGGGGGGATCGGCCCAAAAATGGCCACGGTTGGACCTTTGTTAAAAGAATGTACTGCATCATCCTCGTCAAGAAGATGCACTGGATAGTAGTCGTTGCCCATCTAGAGGAGGGGTTGCTGAGGATCCTTGACTCTAACCCCACTATTTGTCGAGACAAGCAGTTAGAGGTCGAGTTAGAGCCATTGTCCAGGTTGTTCCCACGGCTGTTGCGTGACAGCAGGATGTTTGGGCACTTGGGTGATCAAATACTAACCAGAAAGTGGCCAATCAAGCGCTCTATCGGCCCAATAAATGAGCCAAGGTAACTTTTATATAAAACTAACTTACAAGATACAATTGTTCTATAAGTTTATTCTGATGCTAATGTCTTCTTCTTATAGTAGTGTTGAATGTGGGGCATATGCCCAGAAATTTATTGAGTTCGACATGACCAACACCCCGATGGATGGGTTGAATGACGAAACAATGAGAGACTGTCGGGAGGGCTGGGTTGTCGACTGCTTCCATGGGCAGATGGATCCATTTTGAGTGAGCAAAACCTAATAAAAAGGTATGAAAGTTGGACTTTGAATTTTGTAGTTTATGTGATGTTCATGTTGATACTTGGGTTGTGGTGCTGATGCTGCAGGTGTCATGCTTATATGGAGCTTTACCGAAAGACACGGACTGAGTGAACTTCTCACCTACCCACTTTGTAACTTTTTTACGTGGTTTTTTTTTTTATTTACAAAAGTTGACGTGTCTGCAGGTTCCTGGCAAACAATGAGAGGAAACTTCTCAAAGGTTGGTTGGCAAGAGGAGATGAGGCATCTACAATAAAGGCCGCTGGGAAGGCATGGTACAAAACAATGATCTCAGAGAGGTTGCTGGCAAACAGAATTCGAAAACTTCTCAAAGGCTGGTTGGTAGGAGGAGGCATCTGCAATAAAGGGATTGTGCAAAGGTGTTAGTGACATTAAACTCTTTGCCATCAAAAAGTAAATTAAAGGCAGTGTATAGGAAATTCTTGTGCTGTGACTCTTCTTGCGGCAGCCAAAAGCCTTGTGCCTGTAGAATCATTGTAAAGAATTGGATCTAACATTTGGGAGATATTTTTTTTTTTTTTTTTTGTCCATATAAGATATCTCATTAGCAGTTTGAATTTACTATGTATGGTGTGATCATTTGCTTCACCCAAGTTGGATAATGGTTGTTTAGCGTTTTGTTTCATTTTGTGTATCACTACAACGTGTGATGTACTAGTATGATTATTTAATTCACCACAGTTGGGGCTAATGGTTAGCTTGTCCATATATTTCGATATTTGCCGCATCCCATGCCTATTTTTTATTTTGTGTTTTGATTACATTGATGTCTCTTATATTTTGATTTGTGATAAATAAGATTGATACAAATTCTTTTTGGATTTGGGAGGGAAATGAGTGATGTACAAATGTTTTCCAAATGACCAAGACTTTTCCAGATATGATCGCTTAAGTGATCTCAAATCGCTTAAGCGACCAAGAGTCTATTACGAAGCATCGCTTAAGCAATACATCAGATCACTTAAGTTATTACCAATCTAGACAGATGTTCATTCTGCCTTGACAAAGATCACTTAAGCGATCCTAAATTGCTTAAGCGACAGAGACTCGTTTAGGAAGAATCGCTTAAGCGATCATAGATCTAGGCAGATATTCATTCAACCTCGACCAAGATTGCTTAAGTGACCAAGAGTCTTTTAAAAAATCGCTTAAGCGATACAAATGGATCGCTTAAGCGATCATAGATCTGGGCAGATTCATTCTGCCTTGGCCAAGATCGCTTAAGCGATCTCAAATCCCTTAAGCGATCAAGAGTCTTTTACGAAAATCTCTTAAGCGATACAAATGGATAGCTTAAGCGATTTTCGATCTGGGCATCTGCCGCAAGCTAGATCACTTAAGCGATTACCGATCGCTTAAGCGACCAGCAGTAAAAGCAAAGAATCGCTTAAGCGACCAGCAGTAAAAGCAAAGAATCGCTTAAGCGATACAGATGGATCTCTTAACCGACTGTGTAAATACAGAGGATCGCTTAAGTGTTCCTATGTATTTGGATATTATTTATTCTATTTCAGAGCATCGGTTTAGCGATTAACGCTATGCTAAACATATAGGGTTTACGATTCGTTCAGTGAACTATGACCATTATTATATTTATATTAAACATATAGTTCTTTTACGTCAGTATGAAACATATAAGGTGTAGAATGTTTACGTCTATGCTAAACATATAGGGTTACAATTCGTTCAGTGGACTATGACCGTTATTATATTTATATTAAACATATAGTTATTTTACGTCAGTATAAAACATATAAGGTGTAGAATGTTTACGTCTATGCTAAACATATGGGGTTTACGATTCGTTCAGTGGACCAAGACCGTTATTATATTTATATTAAACATATAGTTCTTTTATGTCAGTATAAAACATATAAGGAGTAGAATGTTTACGATTCTTCTTTGTTCAGAACATAAAGGGTGTGTTTGGTTGAATATTCCTATAAATATTATAAATCCTATTCTCATAATATTTCTTTGTTTAATTATTTAGGAAATATTAGTATTTTTTTAATAAATTTTAGACCCATTAACTAAATTAATTTCATTAATACCGCCTAAAAAAGTTTAAAAAGTAACAAAAACACCCCCACCCACCCAACTCCCCAAATTCCGGCACCACCGACAACTACAAACGACCAAAAATGGTCAGTAATTCATAGATGTGACATTTTCACTGTGGATTTGGCTGGAAAATGCCACATTTGGCCGTCATCGACTTTCAAAGAAATGGCAGACATTGACGGTCAACGACGGCCAAATCTTGGGCATCGTTGACCGAAAACAATGGTCATATATTTGGCTATCGCAGACGGCTAGATGTCGACTTTTCCATCCGTTGACGACCAGATCTGGCATTTTCCAGCCACATCCGTGGTCGATCTGGCCGGAAAAGGCCATATCGACATCCTATCAACCTGATCTGATCGATATGCATCGTAACGCCCTTTCCCGGTAAGATTCCTGCAGTGGTGGCCAGAATCTAGGAAGTTGGGTAGGTGGAGATGTATTTGTTAAATTTTAAAATCTTTCGTTGGTCGATCAAGCCATCATACTAAAAGGAACTTCGTTTACACAAGGTCGCTTAAGCGATCGTAGATATCGCTTAAACGATTCTTTTCTTCTTCACTTGGTCGATTAAGCGATCGTGGATCGCTTAAGCGATTGTGTGATTGGCAGAATCAAATCTGCCCAGGTGCATGATCGCTTGAGCGATCCGAGATATTGCTTAAGCGATTCTTGTCTTTTTGTCTTAGTCGATTAAGCGATCGTGCACCTGGACAAATATGATTCTACCCAGGTGCACGATCGCTTAAGCGATCCGTGATATCGCTTAAGCGATCCTGTTTGAAAAACCCTTTGTCGCTTAAGCATACTTAGTCGCTTAAGCGATCATGGACAATATACACTTTTCCAGATTTTCTCCTGAATTTTGACAAACTAAAATTACAAACACGTATTAATTCCATACTTTCTTCTCAATTTGACAACCTAATTCCAAACTAAAATCACCAACAAATATTCAGGCTATGTAATAAGAAATATAAAGAATGATTTATTAAAGGTAACAATAAAATTTATAACATCAATAATTGAAAACAATAACTCATCAATGGTTGGCCTTCGCAACTCCCTGAATTTCATCCTTCTTTGAACCTAATTTTCTGGATTTACATGTGATTACTTCTGGCAACTGCTTCTCTTGTGGCCAGGTTGCTTGCAAAATGAGCACTTTTTCATCTTCCCGAGAACCTCAGAGGCTGATGGAATACGCTTAACTCGTTTTCTCCCCTTTACTGTCTTCTTGAATGGCGGATGGATGATAATGTCGGCCAACTCTGGCGACACTACCCACTGCTCTTTTGGAGGCACTGTATATATTGTTTCTTAACAAGCTAGCATTTAGTGATCTGCCATATAGAGAGGGGAGCAAAGTTCCATGTAAATTCTTGAACCAAAATCCGGCTTCCGTTGGTGTTTCAGTGCTGCTAGTGCATGAGGACAAGGTAAACGTTGAATGTCAAGCACTTTACAGCTGCAAGTTTTACTAACAAGGTTACCTAGGGCATCCAGACCATAGCTGCGCATAGTGAACTCTTGAGCATTAAAAGGATAGGCAAACAGTGCATTTGATAGTTCCATACGTTCTCGCAATAATTGTTCAGCTGACAGAACAAGGGTTGTAGTAAAATTATCTGACTCCGTACAACGCTCATGGAACCACCGTGACAATGTCCTCTGGATTGCATCAAAAACTGCAACTATTGGAAACTCTATTTCTATTAACAACTTCGAATTTATGAACTCCGCTATATTCATGGTCATGACATCAAACCTTCTTCCAGGAAAGTAAGCTCTACTCCATCGCTCGAAACCAACATCATGCTCAAGATACTTAACAACTCTATCATCCTTGATTCGGATTTGCTAGAAGTGCTCCTCGAACTCATCAACACATAAGCTTTTGCTACCATGTAGTATGTCTGAAGGAGGCCAGCACACTCAAACTTTTGTTTTATGTTCTCACCAAGGTGTCTTATACAGAATCTGTGATGTGTTTGACGGTAAATAGTGGCAATCACCTTCTTTATAAAGTTGTGCCTATCAGATATTATGAACAACTCATCACTGTTAGGCACTATCATATGTAATTGCTGAAAAAACCAAGTCCACGACTCGTCATTCTCAGAGTCAACCACACACCATGCAATAGGATATGTGTGATTCTCGCTGTCCTATGCAGTGGCCACCAACAATGTACCTCCATACTTTCTCGTCAGAAAGCAACCATCAACAGCCAACACCTTTCTCATGTTTACAAAACCCCTTATAGCAGAACCGTAAGCAACAAAAAATATATTTAAACATCATATTCCTGTCCCACTTCAAAGCCGTCTTGCTACCTTGATTTGTCGACCCAAGTATATAATGGTTCACTTCTAATACTACTTACCGATCTGTAGCATGGAAATTTTTTTATTACAAATTAACAGCAATAATACCGCCTTGTTAGCTGTTAGGTATATACCACATCATCACATTATTTTTATGAAAACATTGTAACATAGATAGAAATCATTTTGGATGAAAAATTAGAGATAAAATTTGCGTAGATAAATTTACTCTTAATGAGTATTCCATCTCATGTGTATATGTTTGTTATTTGTTTATATACTTCGTTTATAATATTCAGATAAAGGAGCTGCTGAAAGTCTCCGTTCTTGAGGCTGAATGGTTCCATAAAGGCTTTGTCCCGCCACTTGAGGAACGTTTGAACAGTGAGTTAGCCCCAGCTGGCAGTATTTCCTTCTATGCAGCAGCATATTTTGTTAGAATGGGAGCTGCAGGGATTAAAGAGTTTGAATGGCTGAAGAGCGACCCTAAAATTGTTAGAGTTGCATATATTGTCGGCCTTCTCCAGTGTGATATTGTATCTCACGAGGTATTATATATATGAAATTTCAATCTTTAATTTGTTTGTAGCAATATCAATCCGTGTAACTCACTAGAACTTGCTTAAAGAAGTAATATATTAAAACTAGACTTAATTCCGACACTATAAATATATTGAATTTGTATGTATCTAATTAATTATAAATTGATATTTGAAGGATAAGCAAAAGAGGGGACATGTTGCCTCTACCGTGGAGTGTTGCATGAAGGAATATGACATCTCGAAAGAGGAAACAGTTGAAAAGTTTAAGAGAATTATGAGTGATGAATGGAAGGATCTGAATGAGGAGAGCATGAAGCCAACAACTGTGTCATCAAAAGTCCTAATTACTCTTGTCAATAGTGCTTGCGTAATAGAAATTTTCTACAAGGAAAAAGATGGAGTTACATGCCCAGAGGCTTTGAAAGATTACATCACCAAGCTTATCATTCATCCAATTCCTATTTAATTAAGAGTTATTCATAATAATGTATTAGTTCAATATTTTGTAAAACACATTCATATTCCAATATTCATTGATAATACAATCAATTTCAATATAAAATCTCCATGGAATATATGCGGAAGTAAATGACAAACCTCCGGCCATAGCAATTGTTGTTTGTTCTTCTTGCTCCTTTATAAATTACGAGATCTTTCACTGACTGCAATTTTTGGAGTGATGGTTTTGGAACTAAAAATAAAAAATTGCATCAATGGGGACCTGTAAAGTCTCTTTCTTATATGCAGTTGTCTTTCCATCAAAGACAACTGCTCAAGAGACACAACCGTATGACCACATCAGTCCACATCAACAAGGACCAAAATGTAATTATATGAGAAATGTAGGACCATGTTGTAAAAAGTCTAACATATTTGAGTGTTTGTTGTTGCTTGGAAGAAGAACTATTTGAAGTAGAGTTATGTAATTGATTCAAGTGTTATGTTTTGAATGTTTAAATTTCAGATACATTGATCTCTTATATCATAATATTTGCACAACTATTTCATAAAAGTTTGTTATATTATAATTAATGACACTAACGAAAAGTTTGATAAAGTAACAAATAATTCCTTGAGGTTTCAGAAATAACAAAAGTACCCCTGCCTTTAAGGTTTAGGTGTTAAAAAAAAGGGTAGAGAGGCAACTTGGTAATATTCACGAACTTTGAACAAGAAAAATTTAATGATCAACTAGTAGTACATTAACGAAAGGGGGATTTTTGTTATTTTATATTACCTCGGGGGGATATATTCTTTAACCCTATACAATATAATCTCTATAAATTAATATTCGATAAATTAATAACCTCTATTATATAATAATTTTTTACAGTCCGATTTGAGCTAGTAGGTTAAATTGATAATTTCAATCATTAATAAAATAATACTTTTCTGGAAAACCTTACATAACTCTATAATCTCATTTATATCATAAATAAATAATTTGCTAATTGACTATGATATTTTATTAAATCTGTCATGATTGATTTTTTAACAATTTTAGATGGGAAGCCTTTATAATTATGAAATATAATAAGACGTTGTATTTGTTTATAATGTATTAAGATTATTTTTAATCTAATTCATTGAATACATTTAATACAATTAAAAATATCAAGTACAATGAATACATTTAATTCAATTAAATTATGCACACATATTTTTTTGTTGAATACATTTAGTTAAATTAACGCAATTATATACAATGAATATTATTTAATTAAGTAAATAAGTACAATGAATGTATTATATACAATGAACATTATTTAATTAAGTACATAAGTACAATGAATTTAAATTAATGCTTTAATGTATATTTAGTGGATTAATTTATATTCAATCGATTAAATTGGTAAAATATAATGAATTTTTAGTTGATTAAATGTATGTTCTATAAATTATTAATTTATCGATTAATTAATACCTCTTTTAATTAATAGAATTTAAATTATCCTAATGTTATTAATTTAAAAATGTTATACTGTATTGTATTACTTATATCTTTGAGTAATACTACACTTATAAAAAAATTTTACAAAGACCTCTATACAAAGTGATGTGACAAAAAATAAATAAAAAAATGAATTTAATACTTTTGACTTTTTGTTTCACTCTTCCATTCATATTTTGTCACCTAACTTTGTATAAAAATCTTTGTAAGATTTTTTTTTTGTAAGTATAAAATTATTGTGTATCTTTAGTCTATCGTACAAAAGACACTCGTTCAAGTTTATCACTAGTTTAGCATTTACATAATTATATAATTATATATAATAAGGTTTTTTCCTCTGAAAAAGTAAAATAATTATATATATAATATTATTTTATTAGTGTGGACAATTTAACTGGAGCTCACCAGGCAAAATCCATATTGTCATAAATAATAGAAATGAGATTAAGTGACAAAGTATTATGGAAAATGAACTTGTAGAAGAAAGTAGAGAGAATTATGTTTAATTGAAGAATTGTATATTTTCAATTCATTGATTCATTTAGTAAGAGTTACAGGCTTTATATAGGGAGGATACAATCTATGGAATCTTCTAATTATATCAATTACAATATACAAATATAATTAAAAGATCATAGTGTTGAGATAAAATTGCTTGAACTTAGGAAGTTGAATAAATCAATTAGTTTCCAGAATAATTAGGTCCGTTGAGATCTTTTAGGAGTAGTAATCTATCAACCTTGTTATCTTCTGTTGAGTCTTTATAGGAAAACTGGTAAAATGTAATCCTATAAATTGGTGTTTATTCATTTCAGTAATAGAATAACAAAAAGCAATTTTCTGTATTCACTTCTTCTCTATTTTATCTCTTCCAAATTTATTACATGGTATCAGAGCTTGGTTTCAACAAAGCGGAGTGAAGTTGAGATAGAAAGAAATTGGTATCTTCATTGCAAACTCCAATTTGAAATGTCAATGTCAAGTGCAATTGTTCCAGAAGTTCTCTCAGATAAGAACTATGAAAATTGGAAGGTTTGGCTTAAAAGTTATTTGCTGGGCTAGGGACTTTGGGACATTATTGATGGGTCAGAAGCTAAACCTATTGGAGTTGGACTAAATGCATGGAGAAAGAATAATGAGAAAGCTTTGCACGCAATTCAAATTTCATGTGGGTCAGACATGCTCACTCACGTAAGGGAGATAGAATCGGCAAAAGATGCTTGGGATCGGCTTGCCACAGTGCATGCCCATGCAAGCGGAGCAAGAAAATGATCTTTGGAGGCAAAACTACGAGCATGCAAACAAGGAACCTATACCATTTCTGAATATGGTCGTAAGGTGAAAGATATTTGCAATCAATTGGAAGCCATAGGTGTTCGCAAAGACAATAACACTCGAGTTTCTATCATTTCAAAAAACTTAAGGCCTGAATTTGATGCAATGAGAGTGTTAGTTTATAAAAATAAGCCAACAATGGAAGAAGCCGTTAGTCTTTTCCTTCAAGAGGAAGCATTGCTTGAACGACGTAAGCTAGAATCGAACAATGAAGTGCAAGATATGTCAAATGAAGCGTTTTTCTCTGCTACTCGTAGGAGTTTTCGGAATAGAGGAAGGTCTCGAGGGAGAGGTCGATCACTCCAGAGAGTGTTGGTATAATGAGAGCAACTATAATGTTGTAGATGATCATATTGACACAGTCTCAATGAAGGAACAAGATGATGGAGACAAGAAAGCAGACAACAATGAAGAGGCCTTATGTGTTATAATGGATCGAGTGAACACTACTAACAATCAATGGTTTATTGATTTGGCATGCTCAAATCATATGACCCCAAGGGAAGATATATTCATCTCTACATAACCATTCATAGATGCATCTAGAGTCATTACTGGAGATAATACGCGTCTAGAGATCAAAGGGCGGGGAGATATTGTATTACACAAATCTAATGGAGGCATTCAACACTTATCTAATGTGTTGTGTGAAACTTTGAGTAGAGTAAGTAAAGAAAAAGAGAGAAAGTGAAGTAAAAATGCAAGAGAGAGTAAAACTAATATGCTTCTTTTGTTTTTTCTTATTTCTTTTATTGTACTGTACACTTTTATAGTGTTAACATGAGTAAAACTAATCTCTAACTAATCTTGTTCCATCTTAACAAATGTTTAACAGAAATGTAACAACTTAACAATATTAACCAACAATATTAACATATGACACTTTTACCCCTTTACTAACATCTTCCCTTAAGCTAGACCTAGGAGAAGATATAGACATTTTCACTCCTTTACTAACATCTCCCCTTAAGCTAAACCTGGGAGAATTGACAGCACCCGTGCTTAAAGGTTGAACTGAATCATTACTTGGGAGAGTTGACAGCACCCTGGCTTAGCTAAGCTGAAAAATTGATAGCACTCCTGCTTATCATCATGGTCAACTCTATGATTCATCTTTTCTCTGAATTACTACTCTGAATCATTTCTCTGTAAATCACCTTTAAAATTAGCTTGAAAAAAAAACTGAATTCACACTATGGATCATTTCTCTATAGCTTCAACTTTTGACTGAATCAAAACAAATCACTTCTCATAATCACCAAAACTGAACCAAATAAAACACCTCTCATAATCACCTCTATGTAGCTCCAATCTTCTGACAGAAACTCTCGTAATCATCTCTCTTCGGCTCCAACTTCTAACAGAAACTGAATCAACAACTACTTCTCAAAATCACAGAGACAAACCACTTCTCAAAGTCACATAAACAAAAACAAACACCACGCATAATCACCCCTTGTAGCTTCAGATTTAACAGACACTGTGTTGTAATCAGTCATAACCATGTTTAGTTACAATCTTCAACTATGATACTGTGGTCAGTACAATCTTCAGTCATTACAGTAAACAATCTGCAACATATGCACTACAACTATACAACAACATTCATCACAATACTCCTATAGAGCTAATTCACCTCAATCATAATCAAGTATTAGTTAGAAAAAAAACAGAGGAACATTAAGCAGAACATCAAGCTTACTATCTTGTCATTTCATCATGAATGAGTTACCACCATTAGCAAATTTAGTGTCTGTACTGCTGGGAGAACCAGTCACAACAGTTAGTTTGTCCCGAAGAACCTTAAACCTGCTGGTGGACAATGCTTTAGTAAAGATGTCAGCCTTTTGATAATCAGTGGGCAGATATTGGACTTTGAGATGATTGGCTGCAACCTGCTCCCGAACATAATGAGCATCCAATTCTATGTGTTTGGTTCGTGCATGAAAAACTGGATTAGAGGCTAGTGAACCAGCACTTTGATTGTCACACCAAATGATAGTTATAGTGTGAAGAATCAGTCCCATTTCAGAAAAGAGACTTCTAAACCAGGTTATTTCTGTGGCTCTTTATGTAAGGGCACGATATTCAGCTTCAATGGAGGATAGAGCTACAACCTTCTATTTTCATAAGCTCCACTGAAGTAGATTTGGTCCGAGAAATAAACAGCAGCCACTTGT